CTGATCACATTATCTGTAAATGAATTTAGGCCAATTTTTATATATATCCAGAAATATTGAGTACTTTTAGAAAGGACTTTATAAAGAAACTGAAGCTTAAAGGATTTTTATGAGTGGATCATAACAAGAAGATTTAAGAACATTCCTTTTTAAAGAAAGTTTACTTAGAAATACTGTTAGGTAGAATTTGAAGATCTAAAAGATATAAACATTTATTAACAAAACAAATATGCTTACAGTTTTAAAACCGCCATTTTTTTAGGAGATCCGTATGAATATGTTATTCAATATTATTTATCCCAAAGAACCACCGACCTATACCGAATATCTCCTCACTTTACTGCACAATTTGCCCAAAATGTGATGGTTGCCCTTTTTCTCTGGTCAAAGGGCGGGGTTTCCCTCAAAAGAGCTTTAATTGTGTCTGAGTACTTGGTGGAAATAATTCCGCAAACGAATCCGGTTTTCCAGCTGCCAGGACTTTTGGTTTAGTTTGCTTTTTTGTCTGTTTGTTTGACCTTGGTGCCCAGGAGTGTTGTCTCCCTCTAGGTCGATTTATTTATTATATATCTACCCGAATCCCCTGGAAAAATGCCAAAAGTTATCCATATTCGATTATCACAGACGGCGACAGGCATCATCGCGGCTAATTTACGACTCTTCCTAGAGTTGTCGGCGATAAAGCGATAAGAGATCGAAAGATCGAATGAATCGAAGGGGCAAGGCATCATATCATGTCTTGGGGGATGCCGCTAATTCCCCGTCTCTTTCGCCCCAGCCCGGTTTGTTTTTGTTTTTCCTATATATATACACATATGTGTTGCCAACCCGAGCTGGATGCTGGCCAAAAGCAGTTGTTGTTGATGTTGAGGTTGATGTTGCTGGTGGTTTGGCTGTGTTGCTGTGTTGCTGTTGTCGTTGTGCCTGGTTTTTCTGTCTGGTTTTGTTTTTTGTATATTTTTTTTGCACTTGCTGCAGGCTGGATTCTGGTTAATGGTGGCTGGTTGTTGCCCCGATTGCTCCCATTTGGGCGGGCATCCAGGTTTTATGAGCTGCGCACAGGTGTCTCCGGCTCCGGTGAATGAAATTAGCCTTGCCTTGCCGCAGTTGCCCGGCTTGATTGCATGATTGCCCAGGTGATTGGCGAGCGCGGGTTTGATTGATAAGCGGCCTAATGGAGTTATTCCATTTGTGGGGGTGTCGGATTGTGCCAAGCAAATTTTAACTATTACTGGAAGGTGGGAAATGTATCTCTAACTGGAAAAAATGGCTGTGAACTTGGGGGACATGAAAATTTTGTTATTGTTTTAAGTGGTCAATCAAAACTATTTTATTTTCCTTTTTAGTAATAACATATCTAACCATATCCAAATATAAAAGAGAAACTTGATTTTGAGAAATAGGTGTCACTATTATTATTTAAACCATTTTTTAAAGGAAAAATCATATTTCCTTTTGTGAAAATATTAAGCAACGGAATACAGTTTCAGTTGTCTATTAATTAAAATTGTATATGCTTTATGACAAGGAATTTTTAGGGAATCTCAATTGGCTGCGAAAACTGTTGGACATAAATGTCTTAAATTGAAGAGGTGCCTTAAAATGGTAGTGCCTATAATATTTAAATTTAAGTATTAATTGAGCAACATAACAAGTTTATTATATATTTATTACACACAACATATGGTGGCAATATATAGTCATGTGTACTTATTATTTTAAGACACGACAAATTCTTGTTAGTATGGGATACTTTGCATAGTTCGATTACGATTATAATAACACCTATTAAACACCAACTAATGCTCTACATGGCGCTCGTTCTCCCTCTCTTTCTGTCCCTGTGAATTTTTGATCAGCAGTGGAAAGCTCAATGGCCAGACCACACCTATCGACGTATCTGGCCTATCGCAAAATGAGATTCAAGGCTTTCTGCTCGGCTCGCACACCTCGTCAACGGCGACGGTCACCACAACCGGCGTTGTCTCCACGACAACGATCTCGCATCACCAGCAGCAGCAGCAACAGCAGCAGCAGCAGCAGCAGCAGCAACACCAGCAGCAGCAACATCCCGGCGATATTGGTAGTGCCGCTGGCACGGGCTCAATTGCCTCCTCGGCGCAACAGCAGCAGCAGCAGCAGCTAATTAGCATCAAACGAGAGCCCGAAGACTTGCGCAAGGATCCTAAGAATGGCAACATCACCGGTGCAACAACAGCAAACGGACCGGGTTCGGTGATAACGCAAAAGGTAGGACAAACTTATAATACTGATTGTTAAACAAAACAAAAAATATTCTTAACAACCACACTGAAATCACAAATCTGTAAGGAAAGGTGGTTTCACAATAGCTGAGTCCTTTCAAGTGGAAGCTCTCTTAGGGCACAAATTAATGGACACGCACGCAAATTTCAATTTAGCAAACACATCTACACAGGGAGAAATCTACGATATCAGTACTTCCTCCCTTAAATATTTTATGATATTTAAAGCATCAGAAATCGCATTATATGATAATCAAAAAAATATTATTTCGTTTGAAATAAGTCTTGAATATAGAATTTTGAACATAGGGCTAAAATATTAAAAACCCTTTCCTAAAATAGGTATATGAAACTTTTTTCATTACCCGCTTAAAGTCTAAAATGTCGAATTTATTACTTTATATACACATTATAGTTTACAAATATTAAAATGAAATACTTTTTATACAAATTATAGTTAGCAAATTTTAAAAAGAACCAGATTCCTTTTGAAAGTTTTTAATATTGCTTAAAAATATAACAAAATTTACGCAAATTAATTTTAATACAATTTACTTCGTGTATAACGTAGGTTTACAAAAATTAGATAGAAATTTTCAAATTTTTTAAAACGTTACTGATGAATTCTTAGTGCTGCTGATATTTCTTAGAGTGTTTTGAGTAATTTAACATTCGTATTTTTAGATAACATATGCCCAGAACAAGAAATTCAATATGATATTTATAAGGGTTTGTAAAGCAATATAGTTTATTGCTCAAGATCAACAATTTTATATGGGGCAGTTAGAAATGTGTGTTATTTATATTGCATCTGCAATTTCTCTCCGTGTACATAGCATGCAATATGCAATATAAATTTGTATTTGCGGATAAGCTTCGCCTTAGATCGTCAGCCCAAGCGATCTCATTGCGAATGCCATTTCGGGACCCATTCTATAAGACCCATTCCCACTGCCCATTCACAATCCTCATCAGTGGAGTGGACAACCCCAATCAGCGGCGCATCCTGTGTGCTACATCAATTAACGATATGTTGTTGTTGTTGTTGCTGCTAGCTGATGTTGCTGCTGCTACTACAATTGTTGTTGTTGCTGTCTAACAGACCTGCAATTGGTCTGTCAATTGGTGTGAGTGAGTGTATATATGAGTGAAATGAGTATTGGTGGTTGCAGCCAATACGAATCAGCGTCGTTTTTTGTAGCTGTTGTTGTTGTCGTCGTACGCTCGGTTCTATTGAAATAGCAACAATAACAATAACAACAACTACATTAGCAACAACAACCGCTCAGCAGCTCAGCAACAACAATTGCTGCTGCATGACTGTTATACACTCATTGAGCTGTTATACGATCGTACGTGATTTGTATGGTGCTCTCGCTCTTGCAAATGCTTTTGATCCATATGCGCCATCTCGCTCTCGCATCGAACCACTTCCTTTGCTTAAGTTCGAGTTGCATGTTGGAAGCTTCACACGCGAAGAAAAAAGGAACAACCATAATTAAATGGGAAATTGCAGTAGCCAACTCTGGGCGACAATCGGCAGCGATAAGTGTGCACTTCCGGCGATCGCCTTCCTTTTCCTTCGACCCAGCATCGATTTGACTGCGATTTGCCTCCATGAGTGCAGCAAGTGCAGCTACAGTCTACATTCCATAAAACGAACTAGAGATTGCCTAAAATAAAAAAAAAACGAGCTTAGGGAAGATCAGAAAAAAATCTATATTCTATAAAACAAACTCGAGATTGAGAAAAATAAAATCGAGCTTAGGGAAGATCAGAAAATTTATTTTTATCTTTATACTCTCTGCTGTTTTCAGAAGATTATTTATTTTGGAGGCTGATACTATGCTTATTCCATATCATTAAGTTTTTTTTTGATCTAACTACTAAGAGGGTTATAAAAAATATCACTAATTTTTTAAATTTGAAGACAAAGTTCCAAAAACTTATCTCTAAATTCTATTCTTTAATTTTTTAACTAACAATTCCCTTTACTAAAAATGATATAAGGTTTCCTCTAAAACGTTATTTGATAGATATTATAAATTTATAAATATATACCCCACATATCCAAATAATATTATTTAGTAAAATGTAAGTTAATTTATTTAATTAACTAAAAAATGCTACTACTGAAAGTAAAAAAAATCCACTATTTTTTAATGCTTGCAAAGTAATTCGACCAAAACAGTAGCTCATCTTATGAGCGATTAGCTATCCAAGTTAGGCAGATCGGACTTTATGCAGCAAGTGCAGCTATTTTTTAATATTGCTGCTGTAGCAGCTGCAACGCCCTGTCCGTCCGGCCCCTCCCCACCCCTTTTACCCCCGCCGCACCCCTCCCGGCCGCTCAGAATATTGCGACAGGCGCGGATTCCAACCATTTTGAACTGATATGAGATATATACGTACGTGGCTGTGTGCGTGAGTATCTGTGTTCCAACTGGCCGACGCAACAACTGCGGATTGCCGACTGGCAACTGGCGACGTCGCAGCGGCTGTCATACCTGGCGGTAAAGGTATACCTGGCTGCCTGGCCTTTAGTCAGTCGTATCACGCTGTCGGAGTAGGATCGTATCGCATTCGAGTCCGATTCCGTAATAGCCGCTCGCGATCCGTAACATATCGTATGGTATTGTAACCGAAAACCAATCGATCGATCGGAGGAGATCTCAAAAAAAAAACGAAGAAATAAGAGAGCAAATCAAAAAAAAAATACAGACAGTGAGTGTGAGTGTGATACAGATAGCGATACCTAGTATCGAATACCCAGTACCGAGTACCCTTTGCTTGGAATGTGGGCAGTAGTGCAATATATTCTTGGTGGCATATCAATATCGCAAAATCCACCTGCGAGTCAAATCAAAACCATGAATCAAACAACAACAGCGCACGCGCAGCAGCAAAAAAAGCACAACAGCAACAGCAACAGCAGCAGCAGCAACAGCAACAGAAGTTGCAGCAACAACAGCAACAGCAACGGCAACAACAACAGCTTTGTGTGGGCGCAACGCGTTGCCTTTCAACACCCACGCGACGAACAAGTTCGCTGCCTAAGTCTTTTGTTTGGCGCGCATTTTTCTTAAGGCCAAGAATCGCGTATCTGTCGAATATTAGTGGGTGGGTGGGCCAGAGTGCGGCTTATGAAATTCATTCAACAGTATCCAGCCAAGCTTAATTGCCGTCTCCGTTTTTATTGGGCATTAATTTGCTTACCAGCTGAAAACAAAAATAAGCAAATAAATATTAAATTGCCTCAGTCACTGCACAATTTGCATGCACTCTAATTTATTGTGCATTTGTTGCATTGACAGTTAATTATTCTTAATATTTGTCTTATTAATTTACATACACACACACACACCGAGTCGCCATAGTTTAAAGTCTAAGGTTTCGCCAGCTTAATTTATGACCGAGAATCGGAAAACATATCAATTTTGTACTCTCGGCAATTTATTTATTGCTCTCCAGGCACCGGAAAGTGTAATCATTAGACACTGGCATTTAGATCTTGGATTAGCCAAACAACTCTCTCTCGATGCTCTATATAAAATGGGTGTAGATATATCGCCACATCCAATTGCCTCATCGAATGCCTTTCTAATTGCTCCAAATCTTCAATCGGCTTATCAGTTCGGCGGATTTCCCCTTTTTAAATTGATTCGCCAACAATGTATGAAATCGATTGCCGATTGCTCAATTTATTCAGAGAATTTCCTTAATTTCTTAAAATGAATCATGTGTTATTTTAGTGAGTCAACTTAAAATAAAGATGTGAATTTGAATCTATCTAAGATTTTTAAATTCCCAATATCGAAATATAGCAACATAGCTTCCAAGAACCTGAGCCGTAATGAAGAACGTTAAGAACCGGAAAGCATTATTAATAATAAATCAATTAGCAATGAAAAGCCTACATGGTGTAAAAAGATAATTGTATAGACAATGATCGAACAAACAGATTGATAAATTAGACAAACAAATGGGTTTTTTTAAAAGGAAAAACAATTTTCAAATTTTGATAACCAATTAAGATTTTTAATTCCAATATCATTAATTTCTTGTATCCATATCCCATTGAGTACTCTCTTAACGGAAGTTTTAACATCAACCAAACAATTCGAAAACAACCTTGAAGGTTTATTGCTCTTATTAAGAGTTGAATTGAACTTAAGCCCCGACATCTAGTAAATTTCCAACAAAACTGGGCACTTTTCGAGGGCTGTTAGTCACGGGTTTTCCTTACCGAGAACCAAACAATTACAACATCAAGGAACCATTAAAAAATATTTTATGAATGCAAAACAATTTTTTTATTTTTCTTCTTTTTCTTTTTTTTTGTTTTTTTGTTGGCATCCATATATGAAGATGTTTTTTGTTTTTCTCGGCTTTTCGTTCACTTTATTTCCGAGAATTAACGATATTCATAAAACGCTCAGGCCGAAGAAGAAAAAAGTTTCACTTTTTATCATTCCAAAAGGCATTAAAATAGTTAATTGGCTTTATTTAAATATTTTGTTATTTTTTCCTTTGTCTTGCTACTTGTTGTTGCGTTGATTTTGGTGTTTTTTTATTCCTTCCTCATACATAAATATGTGCCAGAATCGTTTGTCGCTGGTCGCTACTTAGCATTATTCTAAAAGCCCAGCCAGCTCGACTCATAACCGATGGCTCAGTTATACGATATAGCTGCCATATAGATATAGCCTATGGCAACAACAAAGATTCGGATGCGATTGAGCCCGCGACACACGCACCATCAAAAGCCAAAAGTTAAAAACCGAAAAGCCGAAAAACCGAAAGACCGACAACCGAAAAGCCAAATAACCAAAAGCAACAAAGTATCTTTGTCTCCGTGGATCGATCGTCGATCGGATTCGTCAAGGCCTTTTCTGACGTTGCACGTTAAAAGTTTAAAATGCAAATTGATTTCGATGAACAAATTTAATTAGCTCGCAGCTAGAATCTTTTACTGATGCTAAATTATACAAGAGTCTCCAACCACAAAGACAGAAAAAAAAGCTGAAAAATGGAATCCAAAAAAATCACAGACGCAGATACAAAAACCTCTGTATAAATTTTAAGTCGCTGAGACGAGAAGTTAACCGAAAGAATCATAAATTATTACAAGGGTTCTGCGATCGTGTGTGTGAGCAAAAGTGTAACAAATATTACCCCCAAAAAGTTAAGATCCAAAAATGCTGTCAACCGGTTTCGATCAAATAAATAGTGACGTCTTTTCGGCTGGACCTGTGTCTCTTTTTCTCGATGGGTTTCACTTTCTTTAGACCAAAGGCAATCAGCAGCTCACTGCTAATTTCGATCTCAGTCCGCCGATGTCTATATATACACTATATATATAGTCCAAGACATGAATTGACCACACTTTGCTCTGTATTACCTCATTTAGCTTCGTGCGTTTGTCTCCAAAAACGTTTGACATTTTCGGGCGGCCAATAAAAAAAAAACAATGATAATTAACATATGCATATAGCCTTATATACATATATATATATATCAATCCGTATATAAATGTGGATTTTTTTCGCGCTTTTTTCTGTATATTTTTTAATTGGTTTCTTTCCACTCGACGACAACAACGGAGACGGCGACTGTTTCATTTCGTTTTCGTATATACCATTTTTTTTATAGCCTTTTATTATAAACTGTACTTGTTGACGTTATATTCAATAAGCTGCTGGCTGCTGCGGGCTTTTGTTGTTGGCATGAATCATGGCTGAAAAGAAAAATCCAAACAATCATGGCTGAAAAAGAACGCACGCACAATTTTGTCACCTCGTTTCTGGGGTTTCTGAGCGACCTTCTGTGCTGGCCACAAAAATATCAAATCAAATATAAAAAACCATCAATCACTGGCCTTTTGGGCCATTAGATATCAGCTATTATGTCTTGGGGTCTCGGTGGATACACGAACTCAACTGAATCCATCGATCAGTAGCTCAGCCACCGGATTCCAAATCAAGCTTTAGGTTTAAGTGTTCCAAGAACCCAACCCAAAAACAACGACCATTTCCCCCAGATCTTGCACGTGGATGCAGCAGCGGCAAGTGAAGCTGATAGGCCCAGCAGTAACACTAGCACCACCAGCAGCACAGGATCAGGATCAGGATTAGGATCGCCGGGAGCCAGGACGAGCGAGAACACCACACTAGAGATGTATGCAACCACGGGCGGCACACAGATCTACCTACAGGTGAGAACCCTCGAAGAAGGGATGAGCGATGATGTGTCAAGTGCGATGATCCACCAACCAAACCAACCACCCAACCACCTGCAGACCTCACATCCCAGCACGGCGAGCGGAGCGGGCGGTGGTGCGGGTCCAGCTGGAGCAGCCGGCGGTGGCGGTGGTGGTGGAGGTGTCTCCATGCAGGCCCAGAGTCCCAGTCCAGGTCCCTATATCACGGCCAATGACTATGGCATGTACACGGCCAGTCGGCTGCCACCAGGTCCCCCGCCCACCAGCACCACCACTTTTATAGCGGAGCCCTCCTACTATCGGGAATACTTTGCACCCGATGGCCAGGGTGGCTATGTGCCGGCCAGCACGAGGAGTCTGTATGGCGATGTGGATGTATCTGTATCGCAGCCCGGCGGAGTGGTCACCTATGAGGGCCGCTTTGCCGGCAGCGTTCCCCCGCCCGCCACCACCACCGTGCTCACCAGTGTGCACCACCACCACCACCAGCAGCAGCAGCAGCAACAGCAGCAACAGCAACAGCAGCAGCAGCAGCAACACCACCAGCAACAGCAACACCATCCGCAGGATGGCAAGAGCAATGGGGGTGCCACGCCCCTCTATGCCAAAGCCATCACGGCGGCGGGTCTCACGGTGGATCTGCCCAGTCCGGATTCGGGCATTGGCACGGATGCCATCACACCGCGGGATCAGACCAATATACAACAGGTATAGCCCTCGATAAACCCAGGCTACAAGCCATCCAAGAAACCCAATTAAATAGAAACTTACTTAGAGGTAGTCCGTCGCATATAACACCATTTAAATGATTTACTAGCGATATAAGATTAGAAGATTTAAGTATAGTAGAGTGTTTGATTAGAGCGTGTCGTGTCCATTAATAGTCTTGTATATTATAATAATAATATTTTTACATTTCTTATAGCACTTTACTAAAATATCTCTTATTTTTAATCCCAATCCCAAACAGTCCTTCGACTACACGGAGCTGTGTCAGCCGGGCACGTTGATCGATGCCAATGGCAGCATACCCGTCAGCGTGAACAGCATCCAGCAGAGGACGGTGGTCCATGGCAGCCAGAACAGCCCCACCACTTCCCTGGTGGACACCAGTACCAATGGGTCCACGCGGTCGCGGCCCTGGCACGACTTTGGGCGCCAGAACGATGCCGACAAAATACAAATACCAAAAATGTAAGTTCCTTGAAGATCCGAAAAGATAATAATACTGAAAAATCCCAAAAGATAGTACTAAAAGATCCCAAAAGATAATACTAAAAAATAATAATATTATTTAGTGACAGATTTTTTTTAAAAATGGGATAGTAATATTTTGAGATTGCAGCAATTAATCTTCAGTATACAGAAAAACATTTAAAGGATGCAAATCTTAAACCAGTCATATAAGACAAATATTTAAAGTTCCGCTCTTATACTAAATAATATTGAAAGCTTTTGTTCTTGATAAATATATTTAATTTTTGTAGTTCTTAGATAATATTTTATTTTATTTTATTATCTTCAAAGAGGCAAACATTATAAGAAAGGTAATCTCCTAATCAGTCATATGAGGGTAGATATCAAAAAATATACATTTTTATAAATCAACCAACCAAGGTTTAGCAGTTGTAAAAATAGAAGTACTCAGCTTGTGTTCTTAAGAAAATATAATAAGTATTTGTTCTGCTTATAGAAAGCATCTATCAGTACAGTTTTATACATTGTAATAGTTAATTTGAAGAACATTTATATACTCCTCTATGTGTTTTAAAATTACGTAGACCTCTGATAGACCCCTTTTACTATGTAATTATTTACCTACCACACCCCATTTGTAACCCCCATATCTATATTTCATAATACCGTAATAGCTTCACAAACGTGGGCTTCCGCTATCACCTGGAGAGCCCCATCAGCTCATCGCAGAGGCGCGAGGACGATCGCATCACCTACATCAACAAGGGTCAGTTCTACGGAATAACGCTGGAGTATGTGCACGATGCGGAAAAGCCCATCAAGAACACCACCGTCAAGGTAGGATCCAAATCAATATATGTGTTTATATAGTGGATAAGTTTTGTTAAGGAGAATTGGAAGGGGAGCTTTGTTAATCAAGTTCGTGCTGCTTGTTTTCCATTCTTCGGTGTGTTTTGTTTATGCCATCAACACCACATGAACATATGAGCACATGAGCAAGGAAAATGTGAAAATCCAACCCTTTGTTACCAGGGCGATTTGTCAGGGATTCTGTGTCGGCTTCTTGAGCGGATCCTCAGGGGATATAGTATAGTCTAGTCCTACCCCGAGGTGCGATCGCCACCCCTTTGCTCAATTACACCCATCCCATATCCTGCTCATGATAAATGATACTGAGAAAGCGAGTGCGATCCCCTGATGAATTTGAATTTGAATATTCCGTTCAATGCAAATTGCCGCCAGTCGTTGGTCTTTCACGACGAATGTTTGTTCAGGACGATCGCTCAAGGAGCAGGAGCTCTAGACTCAGGACCCAGACAATACCCGTCAACATCATCAATCAGATAAGCTTAAATGACGTCTGGAGATGCAAATGCAAATTGAAAACTGAAAACTGAAAACGGAACCGTTGAGAGCCGAAGAATGACATCAAAGTTACTGTTGAAAGTGGTAAATGGGTTGAGGAAATGCCCAGAGGAAACGGGAAGCGGAACTGGAGGCTAAGTAAACAACAAATGAAATTGAAGGAATACGAATTGGAATCCGAATCCGAGTCCTATTCATTTGCATACGCAAGGAAAGCGATAAAAAAAAGTGAATACTACATACAACTTGCAACAAAAACTTGAAGAAACCAAGCAGAGATCTTCAGATACGAGCTTATGAACCTTCCCTTAACACTTCTCAAGTTCTCGATCAGGCCGCTCTGGCTCTCAGATTACCATAAAAGTGCCATATTTTGCAAGGCTCGACAAAAAAGTGTCAAAATTAATTTACGAGTTTATTTGTTTAGAGCTGCGCGCCCTTCTTATTTTTTTATCCGAAATGGAAGAAAACTTCCCAACACTCTTAAGCATTTGCATAAAGCAAACTAACGGGGAAAATTCGGATCCAAGAAAAACGAAACCCAAAATCGGGAGAAAAAACTGAGTATAATTTACGAGCTGATTAGCCCATGAATATGTAAAGACTTTCCGCAGTCCCGAAGAAAACACACAAAAATATTTATGCTGTAATCAGTTGAAACCCCCCCACCCCATCCCATCCCTCAAGAAAAAGATGATCTTCGCAGGGGTTGCTTGCAATTTCGGAACTGTTTCCTTTTTTGGGAACTCTTTCGCTATCTCTGCGCTTCCTTAATTATTCAAAATGTAAAAAAATAGACACATAAATGATAGAGAAAAAATGCAAATGCTGGGAAAACAATGGGAACTCTATGAGCAGAAGATACAAAATGTGTTGGACGTTTTTCTGCTAAATCGAATTCGTCCTTTGTCCTGGCAGGGCCTAATCCTTTTGACTTTTAAGGCGTAGGGTGCGATCTGCCGAGTTGTGAGTTGAGTGTCACAACGCATATATATCAGAGCAATGAACCCTCTGCTTGGGATAGTATAAACGGATTAAGACAATGTCTGGAAAACAGCAGCGAAATACATGGCATTTCCGCGGAGATAGAGATCAACTCCCAGCCAGATCGCTTTCCAGATCAAAGGATGATAAACTGGCTCTAATTTTATCAAGGCTGTTTACATGTCAGATTTATTTTTTCAATTACAAAGATAGGATCTAAACTCTGTTTTATGTCTAGGAAAATTTTAGGTTTTTTCAGGAAAATGAAGGGTTAAATCCAAGAATAACATTAAGCTGCTTGCGATAAAAAAAATTAGAGTAGATGTGTATCCATTGGGAAAATATGCTTCTTAAAAATATATAAATAGAAATTTCATGTGAAAATAAGAAAAAATAAGTTGTAACTCAGAAAAATCTCTGAAGAATTCGCTTTATTACGCAAACATTTCTTAGTGATGATTAAAAGGTAAATTCAAGGTTGCCAAAAATCATGAAATTCTTATAGAATAATGTTTTTTTAATTTAAAAAAAAAGTACTCCTATTTAAAATAGTATTTATAAATATATTTAACGCAGGACTTGAAAGTTTTTACTCTGAAATCCCCTTGAGAGCTTCCTTTCCAATATAACCATTTCCTCAACTCAACTTTTAGTGCTTCCTTTTTCAAAAACATCATAATTGAGATGAGTTAATTTTTAGTGCCCTCTTAACTTACCCTCGCACTTAATTTAATAACCATATTTGCTTTCTGTTCTTTTCTATTCGACCGACGCAGAGTGTGATCATGCTAATGTTCCGCGAGGAGAAGAGCCCCGAAGATGAGATCAAGGCCTGGCAATTCTGGCACAGTCGTCAGCATTCCGTGAAGCAGAGAATCTTGGATGCAGGTGCGTAAAACCGACTTCGACTTATAGTATACCCATTCCCAATCCCAAATCCCAGTCCCCTGCCCCCAAGTCGAATAAGAAGTCCAGCAGCGTCGGCTGCTCGACTGTCCATTTGTATTGTCTAGTATTTCTAGCAGTAAATTGTTGCTTTTTATTGAAAGGCCCGCAACGTTCCAGGAGAGTTATGACATTGATAAACGCGCATCGCGCGGCGGCAGCCACTGCGCTCCGTTTGTTTGATTGCAGATAATCTCGGTGGCTGTTTGCGACTTGCAACATGGGGCATGCAGCATCTGCCACTGCCGCCACTGCTGCTGCTGCTGCCTGGCCCATCAAACATAACTCATTAGGCACTTGTCACTGGATGGC